GAACAGACCTGCTTAGGATTGCACTGAGCATCTTACTTTGACTGTACAAAAGGAAAAAATAACCCAGGAAGATAAATCAAAAGCAGAAAAACAATTATATGTACGCTCATATAAGCAGTATTCCCTCTAAGCTGAGTTAGTGTGAGCTAGCTCACAGTTTTTTAGCCTCCACCTCACACATCTTTGTCTTAGCTCAGAAAGGATGGCTCCAGAGCAAACTAATTTATGCAGCAGCCAAATCACTGGCTCACAATGTTAATGCCAGTAGAATTTTTGCTCACAAGACTCTACAGCTTAGAGGGAGCATTGCATATAAGTTATGTAGTGAAATGCAGAACAACAAGAACAGTCCTAAAATGCTAAGAGGAAAGCCAATTAAAATAGCAGTACGATAATCCTATTTGGGGGTAGGGGAGAGAATGAATCAATGTATGGGAAAAATCAATTGCAAAACCAGAAAAACTGATCATACAAAGAAGATGAGGAGAATCAATTGTATCAAAAGTAGATCCGATCAAGGTGTTGTGTGTGAAGAGAAGAAACGGAATATTACTGCTGTTTTGAACACTAAAGAAAATTAATTTAAGTAACATCTATTGAAAAGTAAATGCGAAACCCAAATTAGTAAAAAACAAAAAGGATCAGGCGAAAGAAAATACAAGCTTATATGATAATACACATTCAAGTGATAACAGTTTTTTAAATAAGTCCAAAAGAAACTTACTAGAAGCCAGATATTAAAATAGTACAAAAGAAAAGGTAAGAAAGTTGGGATAATCTGTTTATTGATGTACTGCTAATCAGTCTTGTAATCAAATAGCCAACTAAAGAATGCATATCTTACTGTATTAATGCAAGAATACCTCAAATTATAAGCCAAAAATGAAATAGTTACATAAGAATCACATAAATAAGGTGTTCTTTATTAAATATTTGCTTTTTAGAACTGGAACCATACAGTGTTCCTTCTGTTGCAATGTTTAAAGCAACGTAATTTAAATAAACTAATTTAGACTGACATTGGAAAAGGTTCAGATTTTTAAAAATTCATACTGCACATAGCTGCATCCCTTAGTTATTTTATATTTATTCTTCTGACAGGTAACCTAGTCAGGCATCACTAGCAGAACAGCATTAAACTGAAATGATATTTTTGACACAAAGCTTATGGGAACCAAGAAAACTTTTTACTGTGCTCTAAAGAAGACAATCAAGTAGAAGATCCCAACACTTATCACAATTGCCACATTTGTAATGATAAAGTGCTCATAAGTGTAGGTGCCTGAGCCAGTATGGTTAGAAGTTATCAATGACTATTATTTGATAGCTCTACTAAACTTTGAAAGAGAAGAGAGGGTGAACCTACATGTTACACTGGTGAGCAGATACTGCCAAAATATGGGCCTCCCAAATTAATACAAATGCAGGAGTTGGAAGGCATGGGTAGGACTAGATTAGTGGGTAGAAGAATGCCACCCCTCTTACACAAATAGCCACCCCATCCAAGTTTCCACTGCAGTCTGACTTCAGGCCCTAAAGCAGAGGTGTCGAACTAATTTGTTATGAGGGCCGGATCTGACATAAACGTCACTTTGTCGGGACAGGCCATGTGTGCCATAAAATGTAATGCCAGGTACCAGAGATATGAACTTTATAAAGGACACCGGCAAACCCAATTAACAACATTATTTTTTACTCAAAATACAAACATGCTTAAAACATTAACACTCTTACAGTATTTCCTTGTAGTATCTCCCTAATACCCACCCTCCCACTTCCACCGCCCATTACTCATAAGCACTGGGACAGAATACGGGGACATAATGCACAGACTCAGTCATCTGGCAATAAAGGTAATAACCAGTTGCTTGAGGGCTGGGTAAGAGCCCCAGACAGGCCATTTCCAGCCTGTGGGCCGTATGTTTGACACCCCTGCAGGAGTCTGGCCCTGGGAAGGGGAAGCTGCTAAAAAAAAAAAGATGAGGCCATCAGGGAGAATGGGAGAATAAGTAAGGGAGATGATAGAGAAACCCACTTGAATTCGAATAGAAACAAAATACAAAATTAGGATGCAGCATTTTGCTGTTACATGTGCAAGTAATAATTTTGCTATTAAGCAGGTAATATGAAATGCTATTTGAGTCAAGAGGAACCAAGTTGTTAAAGCGTTAGGTCTAGAATATGGACAACTATGATTTAAAAGTAGGGTAAGCCACTACATTGTCTCATTACAAGCTCATGAAAGATCAGGATACTGAAATTTAGCAGTGCCATCCCTAGCTTTTGCTGCCTGCTAGAACTACTTTTTTCTGTCATGGCTCACTTGAAGCTGCCAAATACTGAATCAGACCACTGGTCCATCAAAATCAATACTGCCAACTCAGACTGGCAATGGCTTTCCAGGGTCTCATGCAGAAGTCTTTCACATTATCTAATCATCCTGAGCCTTAACTGGAGATGCTGAGAATAGATCCCTGGGACCTTGAGCATGCCAAGCAGATGCTCTACCACTGAGCCACAGCCCCTCCCCTTACTTTCAGTTGTTCTCTGAACAAAGATCAAGGAAAACGGTAGGAAGTACCTCAGATTTCTTACCTTAGAACCTGCCAACATGTCGCTCAGCATTTTCGTTCCTTCTCCAATGCCAACCACTGTTAAGAAGAGAAACATGACTGTAAGAACAGGTACCTCGCCACCTTCTGTATTCACTACCACTTGCTGTTTTCCATCACAGTACCAGGAATGTTATTTCACAGATATGCAATTCAAAGATTCCTGCAAACAGAACTGGCTGATCCAGAACGGTTAAGACACTGCCTTAAAGAAAAGCAATTGTGCTGCTTTTAATCTTTGAGGGAGCTGACAAACAAGCAATACAGACCAGAAGAACCTTGCTTAAATGCCTTTAATTCTATGTTGGGACCTTTGTTTGGGAAGAGCATTTTTTGTAAGCATCTGCACAGAATTAGCAAGCAACAGTTAACCTACTCACACGGTCCTTTTGGATAAAGTCTTAGAAAGGTTCATTAGTTGTGAAGAGAAGCCATCACTTTAACTAATGCACCTTTTAAAAGGTTATTAGCATTCAACAGTAGCCCAATGAACACAGCAGCAGATTATACTAAGGAAATTAATATACCACTTACAGGGCCATGGCAGAGGGGGGAAATATAACCGAGAAGCCTAAAATAGTCTTGAAAAGAACAATTATCACCATGTATCTCAGCAAGCAAGACAATGGTGGGTATTAATAATTTTAATGGTTTTGAATTGTAAGGCAACTGTAGATTTCTTATAACAGCTTCAGATGTCTTATTGGAGCTGAGGCGTACGACTAACATGTATTTCTAGCAGTGTTAAGAAAGAAGCCTGGGTGCTGCTTTCTTAACATTCATCCAACAAGGCAAGATACAAACGCAGCATTCCAACGAACGTGAGCTAGCCATACAAGATCATCCTGAGCTTTTATTAAGACATTATATTCACTGCCGTAAGTTGTAGTGATGGCCGCTAGCTGACATAGCTTTAAATGCAGACTATTTGCGATACTGGTTAAATGGAAACTGATCCACAGAACACCAGTTGCTGGAAGCAACAGCAGGGGAAGGCTGTTTCATGCTTTGTTTATGGGCTTCTTGAAGGCACCTGGTCAGCTATTGGGCAAAATAAATCTTTGGTCTAATCCAGCAGGTGTGCTGGGTCTGGCTGGTCGCCACGGATACACTTCACTGAAAGCTGGATACACACTCCAAAAGCAAGCTGAGAAACAGCGCCGAAGGTCAGAATGCTGGGAAATCAGTCAGAGTTTTCAGGAGCAAGGAGTGGAGGCTGGCAGCAGGCACAAGGTCCAAGAACGCATGGTTGCTTCCACACTGAGACAGGTGAGCGTGGCTGCCTATGACCATATCCTCCCTTCTCTGGGAGTCAATCTGCAAAGACTCACGGCCCCTCACTTTGCCTTTGCAACAGCTGAAGTCTGGCACTCCTCCTTCTCTCTTGCCCATTCAGACGCTGGCGTGCCCTGGTGAGCTACGTGGGTGATTCTGGCCTCGAGGTGTCTCCAACTGGGGGTGCTGGGCCAGGCTCTGGATCAGTCTCTCCCTCTGACTCAGTCTCTTCGCCTTGCTGACCCTCCCATGCAGATGCTGGGGCCTCTTTTCTCTCAGGTGCTGGTCAAGGTTCCTCTTCGGGGCTGACTCCAGAGGAGGTTGGGTTGCTCCCTGCCTCTTCCTCATCTGAGGAATAGTCAGTCTCAGCGGAGCCAGGACCCATGACAGCAGGCCTCTTCTTGTGTAATTACACTGCAAGCTTCTCAGAGACTTAATGAATCCTCAGTACACCTGAAACTTTTCAGAAAACCCTATCATTCATAACGCTTGTCACTGAAGAAGAAGCACACGGGGCCAGTTTAAACTTGATGTTGGTGAGGCGGAAGGCTCAGCGTTGGTCTTAAACTCTGCTGTAACTAGGGCTGCCAGCTCCATTTTTGGGAAATACCTGGAGATTTTGGGGGTGGATCCTGAGGAGGGTGGGGTTTAGAGAGGGGAGGGACTTCAAAGGGGTACAATGCCATAGATACCACCTTCCAAAGCAGCCATTTTCTCCAGGTGAAATGGTCTCTGTCACCTGGAGATCAGTTGCAATACTGGCAGATCTCCAGACATCACCTGAAGATTGGCCATCCTAGTTGTAACCCGTGCAAAGCAGCCATGCATGCCTATTTGCCATATGAGATCTGTAGCTCATGGACAGTATTATGCTGGCATGCTAACGCTGAAATTGCACTTATGCATAATTACTTTGTAGAAGTGCAGTACAGCTTAAACGAGACACAGAGCCCATGCAAAGTTGCACAGGGAAACTCTTTGCCTTGCCAGCATCACATTTAAATCAGGTCCCATTTTCCAATGTCTGTAACTCATAAAAGAATGAATGTTTTAAAGTACAAAGGTGCTTAGATAATCTCAGAACTGGAAGGTGTACTATTTTCCGTTCTAGTAGTACATTCTAAGCTGCTCTGTTTTTCCCAGCCCACAATCAAAATTTGGGATGGTGATGGAAAAAAGTTAAAGAGTACCTGTTGTAAGCATACAGTTTTTGCACAGTACAGTAAATCCTGTACTACTGCCAACAGTTCTAATTTCCATTACACTGTAAAAAAAATGGATTACAGCACACGGGGGACAGGATGATAAAAAGTCTACAACAGAAGACACTTCAGATTTGGAAGGTTGAGGTATGGGGGGGGACGACAAATCCAAATGTCTGATCAGCTATGCAATATTATGGATAGCCTTGGACAAGTTTGCCAGTTCCTTTGTCTAACTCACAAGGCTAATATTTAGCACAATCAGGAAGACTGTTAAGCAACTTTGTACACTGAGAAGTATTACAGAAGCTAGATACCAACAACACTACAAACATCTCCCTTTGATTTTACCTATTTTGCAAGTAAGGAAAAAACTCCACTACTATGAAAAGAACTCCATTAATGTTATGTTGAAATAAAAGCTAGTATCAACTTAAATACAATGCAGCTGAGGAAAAAAACCCAGCAGATCAAACATTTTCAAGCATGTTTCAGCTTGGGCAGAGTAAGAACAGCTGCTCAGACCCTCCCTCCTCTGAACCCGAGGATTATCAGAACATCTGCCTGGGTGGGCCAGATGCTATAAAAATTTATCCAAAACTGTTGTAAAAATAATATAGGTACTTTTTTCCATATGTGGCGGAGGTGCAAAAAATATATATACATTTTGGCAAAGTATTAAACAAATGATATTAGAAAGTATGGATTTAAATCTAGATTTGTTACCTGAAATATTCTTACTTAACATTATCCGAGATTGTTATGAGCAAAATGATGTGCATTTGATAATTTATATTCTCACAGCTGCTAGAATTCTAGTAGCTAAGAGTTGGAAGTCCGAAAGTCTACCCTCCAGAGGAGAACTAGTGCAGAAACTATATGAACTAGCAGAAATGGATAAACTTAATATAATTCTTCAAGGAAAAGATGACAAGACATTTCAAAACAGATGGAACAGAGTTTATAAATGGTTAGGAAAGAATGTATAACTTAACACTCCAATAATAGAAAAACTTTGTATAGTTACACTGTTTTGTTGGTGTATGGAAACGAATAAATAAATAATAATAATATAAAAAAGAACATCTGCCTGGGTGAAGGAAGGAGACCTATTATGAGGGAAATTTATTATTCTTATTTTTGGATGGTTGTATCTATTGAATGTGACTTACTGTAAGCAGCCTGGGATGCCGCTTTGCCGGATAAACGCAGGATAGAAGAGAGAGAAGAGAAAACAATGGGAATGGAAAAGCTCAAACCTGAAGATAACATTCTTTATGTGGTATGGCTTAATTAAATTCACATAAAATTTTCTCTGTTCCATTTATGACTACCAGCATGAATATCCAGCATGAAAAAGAATACAGGTGAACTGACTCCCTAGAGCCAGTTTGGTGTAGTGGTTAAGTGCGCAGACTCTTATCTGAGAGAGCCCAGTTTGATTCCCCACTCCTCCACTTGCAGCTGCTGGATGACCTTGGGCAAGCCATAGTTCTGACAAGAGCTGTCCTTGAAAGGGCAGTTCTGGAAAGAGCACTCTTAGCCCCACCTATGAAGGACTCACACGAGACACGTTCTTTGAGGGTGAAGAAGAGTCTGCCCCAAAGAAGCAAGAGACTTTATTTTATACACACTCTGCCCCCCCACACCATGAGGTGAGGCTGTTGGCTTGCACGTACAGAAACAGGGAAAAACAGATACTTAGACAGAATGCCTAAAATGCTTGCACAGTATCTTAAGACTTGCTTGCAGTTTCAGGATGTGCAAAGGTCAGGACTCTTAAGTGTACCGAAGTCACTGATCAACCCTATGTTTACAGAGTCTGGATGTGGCTCAGAACCAGGACTGGCATGCCATATCGCTGATCCTTACCCACACACCTACCTCACAGGGTGTCTGTTGTGGGGAGGGGAAGGGAAAGGAGTTTGTAAACCGCTCTGAGACTATGAGTGAAGGGTGGGGTATAAATCCAATTTCTTCTCTTCTTCTTCTTCTAGTTACAGTGTTTTAGTTGGGTTCTAACAGAAGTATTATCATATGCAGACTTAGGATTTTTTTCTATGGATCAATATGGCTATTTGGCATCTTATGGTACTCTTTGTTATACTCAGAGGATATCAAATTCCTGAAAGCGATGACTTTAATATATCTAAAGCCTTTTTGCATTCACTCTGTTGTTGACTGCTGACAGTCTTAAATTATTAACAAGCAACAGATTCCAATTTTATACGTTACTTAGGGCGAAATTAGATGTGGCCGCCATGAGGATGCGGCCATTTTAAAGTTATTTAAAAATGCTGCCAGGGCCTGCAGCTCGACAGACTAACATACTGTTGCTCCCCACGCCTTATAAAGTGCCAAAGCAGCTGCATCTGCATGGACGTTTCACCAATTGGAAAGGCATGGGGGCAGGAACAATGGTGCCACACTGCGGGCCTGACCACCTCATGACATTTTTAAGTCACTTAAAAATGGCAGTGACGTGCTTGTGGTGGCTAGGAGGATGCCATCACGTCATGTCTGGGCCTTAGTCAAAGGAAAAAAAGAGAACACAAGCAAATCAGATCATTGTCTTCAATGTTGGTTCAATGCTCAAAAAGCAAATGACACAAAGAACTTAATTCCAGATACTACTTTGTACCCCCCAACACACCTTTACTTTCAAACTTGCAGTAGCCACACAAAAATCAGTAATATAAATTTGTGCTCCCCATTTTTACCAAGACAAGTGACACCCTCAAGAGAAACAAGTCTGTCTACAAAATTCTAAGCTTTACCCAACAGATAAACATAATACCTAAATCTAAATTATATAAGTACACACAACTGGCACATGAAGCTCAGGGGCACATGATGAGGCCATTCAGCTAGAAAGCCTGTACACCCCAAAGGCTAAGGCACCGTGTATAACACCTTAGGACATGCAAATGCTGAAATCTCAACATCATGGGGCATGGCAGGGAAAGTTATTAAGCCACTATATAAACCTTCCTGCACTTTAAAATCTCTCTCTCTCTACCTAATACTGCTTCTTAATTTAATTCTAAGCGGATTACTAAAATAAAAAAAAAGCTAGACCCCATTTGAACGGCTGCAAAAAATCTATCACAGATGCATAACATTTCGCAGCTAAAAGACTGACAGGTCTGCTATTATCTTCTAATAAAAGAGGTAATATGATCTACATTTTAAAGCAAAGGAAGAATTAAGATTTCTAGGCTCAGAAAAGTAATTAGATTCAAAGATCATGTGATACAGGGTGTCTACCTGCACCACAGTCGCATGCTCTGTCAGAGGAGCTGTAGTTGTTGTTCAACAAATTTATCCCAATGGGAAATATAAGGATCCCCTCTGACTAAGCCAAGGTAGTCCTCTTGGTGTCGGAGTGTGTAGTTTTAACATTAAGGGTAAAAGTCTTCAACCAAGCTCAAGCTTCAAGAGACGGTTATCCCGATTCAGCTACACAATTCAGAATTCCACAGATGGAATGTTGGAATTTAAGAAGAATTGAATCCAAGGATTCATCTGTTTTATCAATCGAGATAACAGCCCCATATAAACTTCGTGTGGCCTCCTTAGTGTTAAACAATGCGATGACAGCTGGGATATACTGAGCCCCAGATAAACAAAAGATTTCATTGTTGCCAAACTTTTAATATGCTCAGCTTGCTCTTACCAAGTTAAAGGCAAACCAACTCCCTAAGTATTTAAAATAGGGAAACTCCTCGATATCATTCATTACCACGAATTTTCCACTTGTGGTATACATGCGATTTCCTCCAATAAACAACAGTCTTGGATTTTTGAGAGTTAACTATCATGTGCTCTTCCAGACAATAAGAGACAAAAGCCTATACAAGAGAGTTAACTACCATGTGCTCTTTCAACAGTCTTGGATTTTTGAGAGTTAACTACCATGTGCTCTTCCAGACAGTAAGAGACAAAAGCCTATATAAGAGAGGACAGTCCTGATGTTGTTCTTGATAGGAGAACTGTATCATCAGCAAAAAAGACAGAAACTTTAACGTTAGCAATGGAGAGCAGTCCTGGGCAGAGACAGCAGAAATTGCATTGTTGATATATAAATTAAACAATAAAGGAGCCAGCACACAATCCTGATACACTCCCTGCTGTTGGGAAATTACAGTGGAAAGTTGTCCATCTAACCGATAGTGGACTTGTGCCGTGGGATTAGAATAGAAAATCTCAAAGCCAACAGTCTCTTGTCAACAGATGTTAATTTTAGCTTGTGCCACAATTGGGAGCGGGGTAAGGTATCAAAAAGGTAAAGGTTTCCCTTGCTCGAAAGCTAGTCAAATCCGACTCTAGGGGGCAGAGCTCATCTCCGTTTCCAAGCCGAAGAGCCAGCACTGTCCAAAGACGTTTCTGTGGTCATGTGGCTGGCATGACTAAACACCAAGGTGCACAGAACGCTATTACCTTCCCACTGAGGTGGTACCTATTTATCTACTTGCAATTTCTTGCTTTCAAACTGCTAGGCTGGCAGGAGCTGGGGCCAGATGGGAGCTCACTCCATCACGTGGCACTCGGGTCTTGAACTGCCGAGCTACTGACCTTCTGGTCCGCAACTCAGCGTCTTAACCTCTGAGCCACCGCAGCCCCTAAGGTATCAAAAGCCACCTTCAATTCCATGAAGGCTGCAGCAAGGATTCCCCCACCTCTTGTAAAGTCAGATGATGATCCTCTTTCAAATCTGTCAACAAGGCCCTGTTCAGACTATCCATCATTAGTAGATGCAAAACTGGCACCCATTAGAAACAAGGACTTTTCAGAGGCCACTGTAATGCTATGGAAAATCCCTACCAGAGGATTGCTTGGCCACATCCCAGGCCTCATTTTAACAACAAATAAAACCATATCTTTTCTGTCGGGCATCTAGAATCTTCTGCTGACTAAACAGTTTTATTCTTCTCTGGTATTTAGGCTAGGGCAGTGTATCTATTCTGAATAGATCTTATGTCTTAGTTTTAGTTCAACCGCTTTGTAAACTTTTTATTTTAAAAAAACACAACATGAAAGTATTGTAAAGAAATAATCTATTTGTGTATATTAATACAAATTACCTAGTACTCCAGTAGCAGCACTATCTAGAGTCCCACCATGTCCAATCTTTAGGATGTGATTCCTCGTATTCCTACTAGGCTTTGGCAAACCAGCTTCTGAAAAAAATAAAATCCCAAAGGATAAGAAGCTTTATAACATCACACACACACAAAATGAAATTTGCTATTCATATTGGAAGCTACTGATATGGCATAACTAATTCAACAGAAACTGTTTAATCTCAAGAAGGGAGGAAAATTGTGAATTACAATCACAGAAATTATCACGCAAAGCTAATAGCTCACCTAGAGCTATTTCTCATCTCCAGAATTGGCTGGCATCAGATAATTAATTATTTTAATGTTCAGCACTGGGTTTCATTATGTTCCACAGCAATGTACAAGAAACATCACATTGCGTATTTGTTCCAGTAATAAAGCCATAACTGTCAGTAGTCGCAGAATTCCTCCAGTGTTGTCAACAACACACAGCAGTGATACAATATGTTCCCCACATTTAATTACATATAATGGCTGGGATCCAGCAAACTCAATGCATAGCTGAGTCCCCTGCCTGCTATGGATGGCGAGAAATGTGATATTTCAAGCTGTTCAATAAACAGAAATGAGACACCAGGGCTATACTTGCACACCCAGCCACTGGATCATGGGCAGATGGCCCTGAGGTCCTCTATCCAGAGGACAGAGTGTTGGATATAGAGATAAGAAAGCCAATTAACTGTACACTGCCTTGGATGTTATTAGTGGAGAGGAATATTAAATAAATAAGCACATTCACTTCTAAGTTACTGAACTTTTGTGAGGTACGTGTCTTGGAAGACGATACAAGCATAACAAAACAAAACTAAGTTTGGGCAGGCCTGTGTATTTAAAGTTGAATCAAATGCTAATCAAAATTTACTGGTGGCCCCTGGCTCCAGGGATGTCCGTCTTGCTTCAACCAGGGCCTGGTGGAATGAACTCTCTTCTGAGATCAGGGCCCTGTGGAACCTTCTACAGTTCCGCAGGGCCTGTAAGACAGACTTCTTCCACCAGACTTTTCGTTGAGGCGGTGGGCATCCTCCTTTTTATCCATCTATCGGGCCTCCCCTTCAGTGAATCAGATCTGAGTAACATCTGGAAACCAATCATGATAGGATACATTTGTTGAGGCTCTGATGGGACATAGAAATTGCACTATATCTATTTGACGTATTTTAAACTGTTTTAACTATTGTATATTATATTGATGGAACCTGCCCTGAGCACGCTGTGCAGGGAGGGTGGGATATAGATCTAGAAGAAGAAAAAGAAGAAGAGATAGGATTTATACCCCGCCCTTCACCAGGAGTCTTAGAGCGGCTTACAAATTCCTTTCCCTTCCCTTCCCCACAACACACACCCTGTGAGGTAGGTGGGGCTGAGAGAGCTCTTTCGAGAACTGCTCTTTCCAGAACAGCTCTGACAGAACTATGGCTTGCCCAAGGTCATCCAGCAGCTGCAAGTGGAGGAGTGGGGAATCAAACCCAGTTCTCCCAGATTAGAGTCTGCGCACTTAACCACTGCACCAAACTGGCTCGCTAATGAAATAAATAAATAAAAATGTTATGCTGAACAGCTTTTAGGGAAGCATTCTTAGCTATTTACTATGCCACTCTGGAGTTGTACCAGGCCCTAAGAGAACATATGCTTAACACTTTCACTGCGATCAATGGGACTACCAGAGTTTGTACTGATGGGATTCAAGACAAGACAAGATTACAGTCGAATCTGCATTTGTCTTTTCCACCGGTGTCCCAGTCTTTTGACTCCGTCTTCAAAAAAGCTGTCTACATTTGGTTTCGTTTTCACACCTCAACAGTGCTAGCATACTTTTGCATTCTGCATATGTTTATCGCCCTCTCGTGGCGGCTCCACTGTCATTGCGCCTCCACACTGCTTTAAATGAATCTTCTTCAAACACTGTTCAAACAAGCATAGAGAAAAACAGCGTCACAGCAGCATGAAACTGATTTCTCTCCTTCTGAGAAAAAAGGTGCAAAGCAAAACAAAAATTCAAACAACGAAATACAAAAAAGCCATGAGCATGACATTTTTGTATCTTGTGAAAGTAGTTTAGTGCTCTGTTTTGGAGGACAGTAACTCAACCTTTCCACCAAGTCAGTTATAAAAATGGATATGTGTTTAAGGTGGTGATGGTTTTCATTTGAGAACAAACACTGCCTTGTTAAACGTTTTTATTTGCATCTGAGGGCACATCTAGGCTCTCATTTTTCACTTACACAGTAGTTCTGGAAGTGGGTCACAGTTCTCACACAGATGGATCATGAAAAGAAAGAGGGTAAGCTGGGAGACAAGGCTCCAAAGACTCAAATAGTACATCCCAGTTTGCTTCTGAGAAGAAATATATCCGATTGCTTATAATAAGCAAATGAAAGATAAACATTAGTTTGTTCAGGATTAACTGATGTGGGATTCCTGTTTTTTAAGATGGGGAGCAGGAAAGTCATATGCAGTTACTTGGTGAGTCCCAAAACCTACACTAAATTTAGGTGAAGAAACTGAGAACCACCCTGAACCACTGTTAAGAGAAACACCCAGGCACGTACTCTCAATGCTCAAACTCACTGAAGTACCAACTTCTCCTGAAGCAGATTAGCAGAAGTGGTAGCAAGAAACAGCAAGGGACTGGGCCATGAAAAGAGCTCACGGTTTGTTTTTTTCCCCTAGGGGGACTCACAAAAAACACCATCGTGACTTTCACTAATTACACACATACAGTTCCCCATCTCTACTTGGGCGAAATACAGTAGAGCCCCTAATCCAAATCCCTTTTTAAAAATCACCTGAGAAAACACTAGTATCCACGAAGTCAGATTCCATCGATTTCACGGAAAAAACGGACATTTATCCTTTTCACTACTTGTGCAGGAAAAATTAAAAGTAACGTGATATTCAAGTTTTTACAATGTATTTATTTACTACATTTATACCCCGCTTTTCTCCTCAGTGGGTATGGAAGGCATTTTACACAGTTCTCTCCTCCTTCATTTTGTCCTCGCAACAACCCTATGAAGTAGGTTAGACTGAGAGTCTTTGACTGGGCCAATGCCACCCAGCAATTTTCCATAACAGAGGATTCAAACCTGGCTCTCCCCAATACTAGTTTGGAACTCTTAAGCACTACAACACATTGCCTCGTACATGAGAGACTTCCCTCAAGACCAGCTGAAGGTTCACTTTCGGTGTCCCACTCCACCCTCCAGAGTCCCCAAATGCCAAATCTTTTTCTCCTTCTCTCATCCCCTTCATGGTACCTTCCAATAGCTTCGCCTTAAGGTGGTTCACCAGATCTGCTGAAGTGGGCCCTTTGGGTTTATACACGGCAAACAGGCCGCTAAGAGACAGAAGCTTAGCAGCGACCGTTTTGTTCCTGATGGTGTCCAGCAACGGTCCTCGCACCGTCCCAGCCATGTGCAGAACAAGAGAAAAACACAACAATGCTGCAGAGTCGTCTTCTCTGGCGGGAGCTACTCGAACACTGTCTCACGATAGCTTATACTGGATCAATCTTTTTTAATGTGCCCCCCTGGACTACTTTCCCTCTAGAAGACAGAGTCGTATTTTATAACCACGCGGTTCCGCAGGAAAAAAACTGCAACCCGCTGCAGCGGCAACCAGTGTTCCCTCTAAGCTGAGTTAGTGTGAGCTAGCTCACACTAACTCAGCTTAGAGGGAACATTGGCGGCAACCATGCCTAGCGAAACGATGGAAATGAAAGGAAAAGATTGCTGCTTTTGCAACAACTGCAGAAAACCGCAATGGATTGTGGAAGCTGCAGTCCTAGCGTGTATCTAGTCAGGTGGGACCGGTTGAAAGGCTTTGTGGGAGTTGTAGTTTATTGGTTCCCATCGGATCGTTCTTTGCAGAGGTCTCTGTCAAAGCACTAGCGTGGTTTGAAAATGTAAGAGAGGAGAATGAGTAATAGGCTTAGTCGAAATGCTGGCATTAGTTGGACTTTTCACTTAAAAATCCTTCCATATAAAAAAGGTTTGTAATGTTAAAAAAGTGAATTTAATCAAAGGAATAAAATGAACTTCGGGAAACAGGAGTAAAAGAGGAGAAAGAGCAAAATATAAACGCGCTGGTTGCGCTCCCAGCGAGAGCGGTGATGTTTATTTCCTGCATTCAAGACTACTTCCACCTTAGCCGGTGAGAAAATCCAAATGATTTCGGTTTTACACTTAATGTACAGTCAGATGACCTCTACAATCCTGTCCATAGTACATCAAAAATCTATGACACCTTTCACAGTTAAGGATCATTCATCAATGATCTGGAACAGGAGGTGAGTAGTGCAGTGGCCAAGTTTGCAGATGATGAAAACCAAGGCTGTGAAGAACTCCAAGACGACCTCCACGACGACCTCCACAAATTGGATGAGTGGGCAACAATGTGCTCAGCCCTGTAGCTAGGGAATTTTGGGGGAGGGGGCCTCAGGGGCCCCGCCAGCTAATTAAATGAAAGTACAATGCAGGTGGTAAATTGGAGCACTTTGGGGGCAGCCCGGGAGGGAGGGGCCCCAGAAGAAACACTAGGGGGTCAGGCCCCGTGGCCCCATGTTAGCTACCAGCCAGAGTTCAGTGTTGGTAAGTGTAAAGTGATGCACATTGGGACAAAAAAATCCCAGCTTTAAGTATAGGCTAATGCTGAAACAGAGGAGGAAAGATCTTGGGGTGTAGTGGATAACTCAATGAAAGTGTCATCAACCCAGTGTGCTGCAGCAGTGAAAAAGGTAAACTCTATGTTAGGGATTATTAGGAAAGGGATTATTATAAGGAAAGGGATTGATATTGTAATGCCCCTGTATGGATCTATGTTGCGGCCTCATTTGGAATACTGTGTGTACAGTCCTGGTCCCCATATCCTAAAAAGGACATTGCAGAGCTGCTAGATAGAGTCATGGAGGATAAATCTATCAATGGCTTTTAGTCGTGGTAACTGAGCAGAACCTTTGCATTTAGAGGCACTAAGCCACTGAATCCCAGAGCCAGGAGACAACATCAGGGGAAGGCCTCATCTTCTATGCCCTGTTGTTGGCTGTCTAGAGGAACTGGTTGGCCACTGTTGGAGACAGGATGCTGGACTAGATGGACCATTGGTCTGATCCAGGAGGGCTCTTCTTATGTTCTTAAGAAAACTGGGGGGGGGGTGGTAGTGGGAGAGACAGAGAAACATCTTGTAACTGAGACTGGAGTCCTGAGAAATTTTGCATCTTATAAGCAACTTGTTTCCCTGAATATTACATTTGTATGCCATTATTTATTCGTAACTTATATTTCTTGGTCACTCTAGACATGCACATGCTTCACACTCTATCGCCCAGCAGAATTTTTTTACAGACAATATATCACTCTGAGCACAGAGGTGCTGCTGCTTTCTGATAAATTGACTTGGAAAGCTGTTGCTTCTCCTTTTCTAGCGGCTGCACTTCTGCATGACTGAAAAGAATTATCTGACACTGACCAGTTGTTCAGTCCATTAATCTTAACTGCTTCTTCAGAGTCCTTTCAAGGCAAACACCTAGGGTATGCTTCTTCTCAACCTGGTCTTAGTCATTCATTTTCTTCAGCTGGTGCACAAAATGCGCCCCTCAGGTTCATAGAGTTCTTTTCCAGGTGGCAGAATTAGCCCTAAGGGTTGGAAGATTTGGTAATCATTATGGAGGAAATCTGTTCAACATGGTATCTGCTGTATGGTATTGTCAGGATCTAAGGCTTCGGTTTTGAGAAAGCTCTGAGCAAGTATCCTGCTTTGTATTCGTTCAGGATCTTGCCTTAATATTGGAAGGTGCAATCCCAAAGCAATATATATCCTAAAGCAAGCTGGCATTTGACACAAAAGTGATATTTCTTCCCCAGCAGCTGAATGCTCATGAGCCCTGGCATGATGAAAAAGTTAAGTTGCAGAAGTGGAGACAAAAAGTGCCATGAGCTACATCAGAAGCAAGATCTATTGGGAAATGTTTAATGGTACTGAATATAGTACAGCGACAGTGCAATCATAAGCAGAGTTGAACCTTTCTAAATCCATTGAAGTCAGTGGTCTTAGAAAGATGCAGTTCTGTTTAGGATTGCACTGCAAACAAGATAATCCTGATAGACAATATGATAATATAACTATTAGCATATTTTGGTTAACCTAATATTTTTCTTTTCCTCGAAACAACCAAGGATTAAGTAACATGCAAGTTGTCTAACTTGTTTTGCCTTGACGCACTTTTATAAGTTTGTTGCTCTCATGAAGTAGAGCAAACTTGTACAGGGAATGTGCACCTTTACCACCTTCACAGCTTGGTGTAGTGGTTAAGAGCGGCAGATTCTAATGTGGAGAACCAGGTTTGATCCCCCACTCCTCTACATGCAGCCAGCTGGGTGACCTTGGGTCAGTCACAGTTCTCTCAGCCCCACCTACCTCACAGGCAGTGCTCCCTCTAAGCTGTGGAGTCTTGTGAGCAAAAATTCTACTTTGTGAGCTATTGGCATTAAAGCTGTGAGCGAGCGATTTGACTACTGCATAAATTAGTTTGCTCTGGAGCCATCCTTCCTAAGCTAAGACAAAAATGTGTGAGCCGGAGGCTGAAAAACTGTGAGCTAGCTCACACTAACTCAGCTTAGAGGGAACACTGCTCACAGGGTGTCTGTTATGGGGAGAGGAAGGGAAGGCGATTGTAGGCCAGTCCGAGAATCTTTTGGGTAGTGAAGCGCAGGGTATAAAACCAACTCTTCTTCTTCTGCTTCTCCTTCTTCGATGGAGATGATGACTTGGGCAAGGCCATTAATTGAAAGCCTAGCCAGATGCCTCGGGTCTTGAGGAGAGGCTGTGGCTCAGCATCTGCTTTGCACACAGAAGGTCCAGGTTCAATCCCTGGCATCTCCAGTTTAAAGAATTAGCTAGGAGGTGATGTGAAAGACCTCCCGGTGAGACCCTGCCAAGCAGCTACTAGTTAGAGTAGACAGTGCTGCTGAGACAGGACAATGGTCTGAGAGGAAAGCAGCCAGTTTCATGTGTAGGTGGACTAAATTTGATACTTTAGCAGTTGGAGTACAGTCCCTAAATTAGACTGATTTTCATTTTGGACTGCATCTTTCACAACTTGGAACATAGTCATGCTGGTAAGCAGGGCTTTTTTTTTTTGTAGAAAAACCCCAGCAGGAAATCATTAGCATAATAGGCCACACCCAAGAGCTGAAACTTGTTAGCATATTGGTCCATACCCCTGACAGCACAGCTCATTAGCATATTAGGCCACACC